TTCTCATGGAAACATCACTTAGTGATATCAGTGTTTTTTCTCATTCATTTTCAGATGAGGAAAGATCCAAATGGCTGCAGTGTTGAGAACGGAATGCCAGCATACTGCTTTCTGCATACTGAGCAGTTTGCATGTACACTGTATACTGCCAATAATTAAAAAAAATATGAGAAATGGTTCTCATCGTATAATTTACTATATTGTTTAGTTATTCTAATTAATTTTATTTGATCTTTAGATTATTATAATTTTTTCTTGTTTTGCATTTTAAGCAGAATTTCTGTAAAGCAATCAGTTAAGGATAATCATTTATTCAAATCAATCAAATAAAGATATTGAAAGTCATAGATGATTTTACTTACAGTTCATTCATCACACATGAAATGGAAAGTCATAGCAAGCACAATTGTATTGTGTATTTTTGCACAGTACTGCATATTTTGCATACAAAAAATGTGCATAATGCACACAGTAGAAATATAGTAGAAATAGTAAGGTAGTATACCACTTCAAACACACTGTAAAAAAAAATCTGTGACATTTACGGTAAAATACCGGCAGCTGTGGTTGCCAGAACTTCACCGTAAAAAATATGGTAGCAACATTTCAGGTTTTACAGACTTAACTTAAATTCACAATAAAATGCCGTATTTCATTAACTGATGTAATGTTAATAAACAAACATATTGAAGTGTTAATATCTGTTTTGAACCATTGTAATGCACTGATAACCACCAAAAACTGGTGGTGATGAGAAAGTCACATCATGAACAAAAGCTCATCATAAACAGCTTTTCTATGAGCTAAGGAGGGCAATACTTAAATATAGAAGGTGCACAGTGTCATTCACACAAACACTAAACACCATCATGGTGACATACATGATACTGAAATAATGCAATAAACATTAATTTAACAACATTAGATGTAAGATTAAACACTAATGTACACAACTGATAAGAAAAAACTAAGAAACATGTTCAGCAAAAAAATATATATATATGAAGTGTCATGCAGGGAATTCTGAGAGTGTCAATTTATGGTTTGTCACTGTAAATTATACAATAACTTTTTTATTTTTCACTTCCAAAAACCGTATTTTTAACAGTATTTTACTGTAAAATTACATTAAATGTAATTACATTTATTAATCGAATATAGTATGGAAACTTACTGTTAACCAGTTAACAGGTTTTTACTGTAGCATTTTTACAGTCTTTTACTGTTAAAATCACAATCATTTTTTACAGTGCATAGCACATATCACATTTTTTATGTTTTTGAAAAGCCTATCATGCTCACCAAAGCTGCATACAGTAAAAATAGTAATATTGTCAGTTATAGTAATATTATTGCAATTTAAAATAATTTAAAAAACTGTTTACTATAATGTAATGTATTTACTGTAATGGCAACATGATCCTTCAGAAATCATTCTAATATACTGATTTTCTGCTAAAAAAAAATATTTTAAAGGGGTCATATGATGCTTTTTTAAAGATCATTATTTTGTGTATTTGGTGTAACAGAATATTTTTCTAAAACATTGTACATTGTACAGAATATTTTTCAAATACTGTACATTATTGTAGGTCCTCTATGCCCCGCCTCTCTCAAACGCTTCGTTTTCTACAAAGTCCCGCCTTCCGACAAGCGCAGTCTGCTCTGACTGGCCAGCTGACCCAGTGCATTGTGATTGGCCGAACACCGCAAGCACTCGTCGGAAATGTAACGCCCCTTACCATAATCGCGAGCTTCAGCTTTCAAATTAAATGTAAAGACAGAGCCCGAAAGAGGAACAGAGTGGCGTGACAGACACAGTGATGAAGCTGGTATGTGTTTGCAGTACACAAGCCACGGTTAAGACAGCTGACTCCACTGTGATGTGACCCTCTCTCTCTCTCTCGCGCTCTCTCTCTCGCGCGCACTCTCTCTCTCTCTCGCTCTCTCTCTCTCTCTCGCACACTCAAGAGAAAGGAAAACATGAAATCGCATCATATGACCCCTTTAATATTATCAGGGTTGAAAACGGTTAATATTTTTGTAGAAACCATGATACATTTTTTCAGGATTCTTTCATGAATAGAAAGTTCAAAAGAACAGCATTTATTTGAAATAGAAATCTTTTGTAACATTATACATGCATTGTAACATTTCATAAATGTATGAAATTATAAATAGTATGAGTAAAATGGTAGTATGCCATTTCAGACTTAACAAATATCAAATCCTGTGTTCCGTCAGCAGGTGCTTTGTTCATAGTAAACAACAGTAGCATAATAGTCTCATTTGCATGAAACTTCTGTAGAAGGTAAAAATTAATTTGCAGGAAAAAAAATATTTATTTTTTAGATCAGGTCCTCATATTGATTGACAGTGTAAGAATCAAGTTTGCATTCAGGTTTTTGCATCTCATTTTGAAATAAAACCTCGGAATACTCATTTCAGACCGATGTGTCAGAACAGCATCTTCAAAAGACTGATGCAGCCATTTCACACAATGTTCTGACCTTTTGTGAGTGTGCAGTTAATTACAATGCTTCCACTATTTGAATAGTTGTGAAGTTGAGCTTCATCAAAATAATACACAGGACATGACGACGACAAGCAGAAAGAACAGACCAATTAAAATGACTCAGTTCCACTGTTAAGGCATTGATTTCAATTCATAAAGTATGAAGATGCATGAAAAAGACACTACTTTGAACATGCTGAATTTTTGTAAATATCTTATGAAGTGCATGCATTCTGTTTCAATTTTCTGGACAAGGTTTTTTCACTAGGATAAAAGTTACAGACGGTCAGGATCAAAGAAGTGAGTAAAGGCGACTCGAAGTGCTCTGATCAGAAGATGAATGGGAGCTTGTCCTCACCGCCAAGCGCACTGATGCCATGATGCATTAACATTTGATGGGAAGTCGTGGCCTAATGGTTAGAGAGTCCACGTCACTTTTTTTTTAAATCAAAACACCAACATCCCAAACCAAACTCTCAGAATTGCAACCGTTCAATGTCAAGATTTGTTTGGCCAGAGTTGAATATTTAAAAGCCATAAGCTTTGGCTCGGTGTTAGACTGGGCTGTATGCTTGATGTTAAAATGTGTTGAAATCTAACATGCTCAGATGTGTGATGCAAGACAGCCAGAGAAATATCAAGCTGACCCACTCCAGAGTTGTGTAGGGTCTAAAATTAAAGTGCCCCTATTATGCCATTTCCAGTATTGCCTTTCATGCAGTGTGTAAGCTGTATGTGAATGTAAACGATCTGCAAAGTTGTAAAGCTCTCCCAAAATAAAGAATCGACTCTGAACAGCTGAAACGAGTCGTTAGTATTCGAATCCCACTTCTGTGACGGTTACACGTCACGGGGTAACACATTTGCATAATGCGCGCCTATGTTCTCCGTTGGCCGGCCGTGAACAACTTGACCCCGCCCACAAACACGTCATTCTACTGACGACTGCTTCTCTAATCTCGGGGGAGTTCAAGGCGGGATTCACAAAAGGCTTGCTGTTGAAAGATGGATCAGTATCCTGTTTATTTGGACCAGCTGCTCCACTGAATCACAACCTGTAAGTATGATAAATAATAGATGTTCATATTTTCTATAGCACATTCAAAATACAGAACTATTGAAATAGGCTTATCATTTCCGACACGCCTGTATGCCGTAGACCAATCACAACAGACTAAGCCATCTGACCAATCAGAGCAGAGCAGGCTCCCGGAAAGGAGGGGTTTAGAGAGACTGAATCTTTGAACTGCTTCGAACGAATCGTTTGACAATCGCTGGAAAATGAGGTGATATTAAATGCATATTTTGAGAAAACGAAAGCGTTTTTTGACCTTGCATGCATGTAATCCTATTGTAGGAGACTCCCAAAACAATATTAGGAACCGTAAAAATGGCATAATAGGGGCACTTTAATGCTTTGCCACACCTGCTGATGATGGGTAATCTGAGAAAAATTACCATAATTATTTCCTTCCACTCATGAAACTGCAATTTGGATTTTTTTAGAAAAAAAAGGAATTACATGTCTGTTTTTAGGCAGTCATTCTGGTGGTTTATTACAAGTTTGGAGGTGTTTACATTAGTAAACAGTTTGAATTTTTTTTTTTTTTTTAATGGAAGCTTATTTCCGCTATGGAATAAGATAAATATTAAAGAGAATTTAATTAATAAGATAATATAATTAATAAATAGGCAATATAAAGATAATTGCGACTTTTATATCTCACAATTCTGACATTACATCTAATAATTCAGACTTTTTTCTCAGAACTGCGAAATATTAAGTCAGAATTGTGAGATATAAACTGAGAATTGCGAGATATAAACTAGAAATTCTGAGAAGACAAGATGGAATTGTAAGATATAAACTCTTAATCACGAAAAAAGTCAGAATTGTGAAAGAAAAAGTTGCAATTAGCTTTTTTATTTTTTATTCTGTGGTGGAAAAAAACAGAATTTTGAGATATAAACTCAGAATTCAGAGAAAAGGTTAATTTCAAGATATAAACTCAGAAATGCAGATCGTAAACGTGGATTTGCAAGAAAAAAAAGACAGAATTCTGAGACTTCTGATATTTTGTGATTCTGAATATTTCTCTCGCAATTCTGATATTACGTCTCATAATTCAGACTTTGTTTTCTCAGAATTGCGAGATATAAAGCCAGAATTGTGAGATATAAACTCACAAATTCTGAGAAGAAAAGACAGAATTGTAAGATGTAAACTCACAATTGCAATTGTATTACTTTTTATTTCTCGCAATTCAAAGTTTATATTTTGCAGAGTTGTGAGAAAAAACAAAAATCACAATCACCTTTTTTATCCCATGCCGGAAACAAGATTCTGTACCTTTTGAAGCTCTTTGCATTGATGAAGAAAATATCTGATCTAACTAGATGACTCCACTCAAGGGCAGCACTACAAACACCACAGCTGTGCATGTGCTATATTCCATAATTATGTTTCAAATAATGTTTCCGGCCAATGGAGACATTCTCATTTATTTATTCACCAAAAGACATTTTTACTCACATTTTGGACATTGATCATACGCATTATGCATTTCATTTAATCTCTGGGTAGTGATTGAACTGGAAAAAGGAAAAAAAACAAAAAAAAACTCCACACAACAATTTTATTTTTTGATGGTTCGTGAGGTAAAAAGATAACAGTTTAGGACTTGAGTTTCCAATTTCACTCTGTTTAAAGTTCAAAAAGATGTCACTGAGTAATTGTTTTTTATGTCACGGTTTGTTCTGGAAATAATTTTTCCGCTTTGCTGCTCTTTACCTGAGGATCTGGCTGTTTTGCCTGTGCACATGGTTTAAATGTAATACAGTCAAGGTCCAGTTGAAAAGCATGATGCTCGAGTACAGTTAATTCTCTTGAAAAGCATAGGATCTGTTTCCCATCTTCAGTGGCCCTGTGGGAGGAAAATAATTATGAAATCATTAGACATTTGAACTGGAAAAGAACAGACAGCTAGTGCTTGTGTTTTTGTGTGCTCTGGTACATGTATCAGTGTGTTGTTTATGCACAATATGTATTTTTCTATCATCGCACGTCTTGAGTGACATCAGATGGATTATGCTGAAATGTTTCTCAGATGTGTTTGCATCTGCAGTGTCTCAAAGGGTTCTTTTCAATCATCATAAGTACATGAGATTCACGTACACTACTGTGTCTAATCCCCTGCAGCATAAGATGTGTGTTCTTTATTAAAACAACCACGAACTGAACCATAATTCTGATCCAGACCTGAACTATTATGCCAGATTCTGCTGTGTGTGTACTGTACTGCTCACTTAGTTTTTCACTTATTTTAATTAGTAGTGCTTGCTAAAGCCATTCCCAGGGTTAGGGGTTTAAAGAGACATGAATGATATCTAAAATCATGCAGCATTTTGGAGGTGGGATATTTCTTTTCTACGTGATTGGCCTTTTTTCATTGCTCCAGGGGGTTAATAAAGGCGAATCAATGCATTTGTCTAAGAAAACTATCCATATTTCAAACTTTATAAACTGTAATCTCTAGCTTCCGCTAACTGTCGTACATGCGTTCATGAGAGAGTGGTGTCCAGCGGATCACGCAGGACGTAGGCATAGCATAAGCTCCGGTGAGAATATGCTAGTCTCGCGAGAACCAAGATTTGTTCACAGCAAAGGAAAGCCAGTCTTCTCTTGGCTTATATCGAAATCCTCTGACCATTTTCCTTTACAAATCCTCGTTTTGTACTTCTAATTTGTGACTGGCGTTTTGTTTTGCTCTCTTCACTACGCTTCTGCATTCGTCACCGTGTTCACCTAACCTCATCCTCTGGAACGCCATTCTTTCATGAACGCACATGCAACAGTTAGTGGAAGCTAGAGATTTACGGTTTATAAATGTTTTCTTACACAAATGCATCGATTCACTTCAGAAGGCCTTTATTAAGTCCCTGGGAGCTGTGTGGAGTACTTTTTATGATGGATGGATGCACTTTATTGAACTTAAAAAACTAGACCCCCATTCACTGTCATTATAAAGCTTGGAAGAGGCAGGACATTTTTAAATATGTCTCCGATTGTATTGGTCTGAAAGAAGAAAGCCGTATACACCTAGCTTGAGGGTGAGTAAATCATGGGGTAATATCATTTTTGGGTGAACTATCCCTTTAATATTATTATTATATTTTGCTCATTTCTAATTTGACTAAATGTGACCATAGATTTTTTAGTTTGAATTAAAATGCAGAATTTTTTTTTACATTTTTTAAATTAAAATTTAAATGTTTAATTACATTGCCTGAAACATGGTATTGTGTATGGCTGGCTCTTATGGTAAATTGCTTTCAATGTTCCTTGCGTTGGATAAAGCATCTGTTAAGTAATCTTTATTTTTTAGAGCGTTTATACAATTCAGATTGTTTCAAAGCAGCTTTACAGGGATAAACAGGAAAATAATGATTCAAAGATGAAAACAAAGATAAATTCTGCTGTAAAGTATCTCTAAAAAACAATAGTGTCCAGAATTATCTGGAAAAATTTAATCGTGGTCCGTGGACCCCAAGGGAAAATTTGAGTCTTGAACCAATGTGAGATTAGTGTAAAAATAACATTTTCCAGATCATTTGATTAACCATTGCTGTTGGCTTTAGTACAGTGAAAATGTAAATTCCGACTTGATTTGTCAATTTTATTGAAGGTTTAATATCCTGCTGTTTCCTCTGACAGTATAAGGGAGTCTTAAATATATATAGCTACTTTTCGTATTGTAAGAAATGGGAGAAAATGGCTAAATAAGTAAATGTGAAGGATTTTCTGAAGAAAATTTGAGTGCTGCTTCACAACTCAATGCCATTATGCTATGTGTTATGAATGGTTGCCAAAGCGTTTAGCTATGTGGTTTCTAAGGTGTTCTGAGTTGCTGTGCAGTTGCTAGAGATTCTAAGTGGTTTCAATGTCCATCCTTAAGGTCAAAATCCAATCACTTAGATAAATAACAGACCTCAGCAACTTGCATGGTTTGAGGGATCATTCAAATTAAAGACGCACTTACCTTTAACATCTCTGCTACATTGAGTCATTGTGAGGCTGAGTTTCCATCTCTTCTTCTTTGAAAACTGTACACGTGTCAGAGCAAATGTTCCCACCCTTTGCAGATGGATCTTCATGACCTAAGCGATCCATTTTTACAGAACCGTTGCTTTGGATGCACGAGCTGAGGGTCCATAGATGTTTGTGCACTGTGTTGCAATTTAATCGCTTGAGTTTTTTGTACCCTAGAAGATTGAGGAAGGCAGTGCAATAGTCAGGACTGTGGCAGTAGATGATTGGGTTCAGGCCCGAATTGGTGTAGCCGAGCCAGTTCAACAGGAGGAACACATCCTGTGATGGCACTAGAGGATCAAAAACCTTGATGATATTGAAGAAAAAGAAAGGCAGCCAACAGAGAATGAAGGTGCCCATAATAATCCCCAGCGTCTTGAGCGCCTTGTGTTCTTTCACGACATGCCTCGTTGACCTCCGGCTCAAATTATGCATCGTTTCACCTGGACTTTCACAGGAGTCTTCTGTGCATGTGCTCAGAAAGTGGAGTCTATTCTTATCGATGAGTTTCAACTGTCTGGTCGCGATGACGAACACCTTCCCGTACACAAACACCATAATAACAAGGGGCACGTAGAAGGACACCACTGAGGAGAAGACGGTGTAGGTCTTGTTCGTATGGAAATCACAGCATTCTGATTTATTGTAACATATTTCTGCCTCCTTGTAATTTGCACGAGAATAATGGTTCATGATTGGCACGAAGGAAACTAGGGATGCCACCATCCACACCGTGCAGACGATGTAGCCAGCTCTGCGCTTCCCAAGGAGGACCTTATGCTCAAAAGGTCTTGTGACCGCAACATAGCGCTCAACGGCGATGACACACAATGTCTCTATGCTGGCCGTGACGCAAAGCACATCCAGGGACGTCCACAAGTCACAAAACTTGTCGCTTAAAAGCCATTTCCTGCTGACCACCATGCTGGCGCCCAAAGGCTGGACCACACAACCCATGATGAGATCCGCGAAGGCCAGGGAGATGATGAAGACGTTGGTGGTGGTGTGGAGCAGAGGAGTGCGAACAATAGCCAGGATGACCAGCAGGTTCCCAATCACGGTGAGGAAAATGACCAGCGCCAGAGGAAGAATGAGCAGGGGCTGTGCATCATAAACCAGGCTGGAGCTGTTGGTGCTCATCCTGAGAGGAATCTTTCAGGGAAAAAAGAGAAATGGACACAGGATTGGTCAAAAAGTGCTGGGTTAATGTCCTCCAAGAAGCAGGTTCCAGGTGACTTCACATTGAAGAACAATGACGGAACTTTTCCACCAGTGAGAAGGAGATATCAGCGGCTCACTCATTTCGAAAGTTTATAGGCTTTACAGACATGAGATATAATTGCATGCAAACCCACAGACTGTAAGTTAACTAGCTGGGCAAGACTTTATTTGTTTTCGTGCACGAGGAGGAGGAGTTAGGAGAACTGTGTTTTCACATACAGATATGAGAGACTTTTCAATGTCACATAACTTCTAAGATCACATAGCTCCTTCTGACCCATAATACTTTATTTGTGGCATGGTTTTATTGTGCTATTTTATTGATATTTTGAGCTGTTTGCATTATTGCTGATGTTGCTAATTGTGAACATGTATAACTTCACAATAACAAAGCTGTTGCTGGCTACTAATTTCAAAATATGTATTTACGTACCGAAATGAAACAGACCGATGAAGAAAGTTTCATGCCTTTGTGAAGTAATAAAGCAATTTCAGCCAGCTTACAGTCATTTGAGATGATCAAATACCTCCTCCTGGCCCATAATACATTATTTGTGCCATATTTTAACCATTTTATTCTATTATTTTCTTGATGATTTCAGCTATTTCCATTATTGCTGATATAATTTAATTGTTTATCACTAATATGCATTAGCGTCAGTATAACGTCACAAAAACAAAGCTGCTGCTGCTATTTTAAAATACTGAAACAGACTGACATTGAAAATGTATGCTTTATGAAGTAATAAAGCAATTTCAGCCAGCTTACTCAGAACTTCTTTTCATATCAGATGATCCTCCTGACCCAGAATGCATTATTTGTGCCATATGTTTAACTTTTTAATGATTTTATTGTAGTATTTGATTGAAATTTATGGCTGTTTTCATTATTGCTGTTGCCATTTTATTGTTTATACACTAATCTGCATTTTATGCAATATAACTTTACAAAAACAAAGCTGTGGCTGCTACGAACTTATTTCAAAATACATGTGTACATAACGAAATGAAACAGAAATGGAAAGTTTGATGCCTTTATGAAGTAACAAAGCAATTTCAGCCAGCTTACCCAGAATTCATGTCATTTGAGATGATCACATACCACCTTCTGACCCATAATGCATTGCTTTTTGCTAATGTCATTTAATTGTTAACACACTACTCTGCACAAAACAAAGCTGCAGCTGCATACTTATTCCAAATGACATACTTCCGTGTTGAAATGAAACAGACCGACATGGAAAATTTGATGCCCTTATGAGGTAATAAAGCAATTTCAGACAGCTTACCCAGAAAGGAACTTCCTCTCTCAAATCATCTTCAATAATTTATGCTTGTCGGCAAGTTAACCCTTCTTCAAAACTTATCTTCCATTATCGTGCACTTGTTCTCCGTGCACCTTCCCACGCCTCAAATATCGATGTGAACAAAGTGTTCAGAAGGATGCAGGACGTGTGGTTTGCGGCGGGCACAGTATTGTCAGCTTCCTGTGGTAGAACTTATGGCCTTTACAGAAGAACTGCTGCAGAATGAGCACATCGCTATCAAAAGTGTACAATCAACATACTAATGTATTGAACAATTGTTCACTAAATATGTAGGTTAGTGATTATGTAGAAAATTATGTATTTTGTTGAAGTTGTTTTGTATTTCTGATACGTTTCATAGCTCTTGGAACAGCCAACGCATTGCCCTGACTCTATTTACACTTAATTCCAGAATGTTGCTTGTTTCCTGTGTTGTTGCATCTTAGTTTTGGTTTTGTTTACACTGAATTCACAGCATATAGACGGTCATGCTACAGTGCAGTTCTGTTTGTCAGACAGATTAGCCATCATTCATTTGCTTCCCTCTGGCAGTTCAAGCAAAACTTTACAAAGTTTCACAACATTTCATGACGTTTGGTTTACTGCTGAAAATGACTGACTGTTTAATAGGAAAAATATTAGAGTGGCAGATTGTTTGTCAGGATGTCCATGTTACTAAGGCTACTGAAATTGTCTTAATTGCTCAAGGCGAGTAAATCGTACAGAAAACTGACTAGGGAACGTGTTGAACGTGTCATTTGCTATGTATTCTTTGATTTTGGTGTGTTTTTAATTCATATGATGACTGTACAGCACACTAGCTTGAAATTGATGGACTGTAGCCTCAGGAGAAGTTCATCGCTCACAATTTTACACACATACACGGAGAGCATGTTTGTTTCACTGGCTCGCTTTGGCTCTCCGATGATAACTTTTAAAAAATTCAGAATCTTTCTTGCAAATTGACACGCATGAGGGAAAAACGACAAATTCTTGGCGAAAATTGCATCGCCTTAAGTGGTAGAGATTTATTTATGCTGTGGGCCACCATTAGCTCAGGAAAGAGAGAGCGCTTTCTGTCATAGTTGCTGTGTAACACTCAATCCCGTTATCCCAGAGTGCTCTGGGCCGCTTACTGAATCTACTGAGATTTACAAACCGTTCTTGTTTCTGGAATTTAAACCATTGCTGTCAGACAATTTAGTGGGTTGACAGAGATATTGTCTTCCATTGCACAGGCGATAAACAAAGGCTTTCATTTGCCTAAGACATTGCTGCCCATGTTGGCTCATCTGTGATACGACAAAAACCTGGACAGCACGTCTGTGCAGGTCCAGACAATCTGCTGTAAACACTAAGCTGTCTCTTAGTTTTGAGATAACACAGTTTGACCAAACACACTGCATTTCCAAGATTATTGACTCAATTCAGAGACTTTTTTCAAGATACACACACACACACACACACACACACACGGCGTAATGGTTTTTCTACTGTACAGACCGTATATTCTATCACCCTACACCAACCCTACCCCTAAACCTAACCCTCACAGGAAACTTTCTGCATTTTTAGATTTTCAAAAAACTTAATTCTGTATGATTTATAAGCTTTTGTACCCGTGGGGACCACAATTTAGGTCCCCACCGTGACACGAGTCCCCATGAGTCTGTGTGTAGTCAGGTTTAAGTCCCCACCAGGATATATAAACCAGTACACACACACACACACACACACATGTTGTGTTTCCATGTTTTATGGGGACATTCCATAGGCGTAATGGTTTTTATACTGTACAAACTGTATGTGCTATTGCCCTACACCAACCCTACCCCTAAACCTACCCCTTACAGGAAACTTTGTGCATTTTTACTTTCTCAAAAAAACTCATTCTGTATGATTTATAAGCTTGTTTCCTCATGGGGACCTCAAAAATGTCCCCACAAGGTCAAAATTTACTAGTATTACTATCCTTGTGGGGACATTTGGTCCCCATAACGTGATAAATACCAGGTACACACACACACACACACGAGATTTGTTTGCTGGCATTATCTGTTTCCAGAGATGGGCACTCGAGTTAGTGACTCGGACTCGAATAGCATTTTTATAGACTTCAGACTTAACTCAGACTCGACCTGAAATGACTCCAGACTCGACTCGAGTAAAATGACTCGTGAAAATTTTTAAAGCAACTCGAGTCTTTTATCCTTAAATACTTATATAACTGATATTCAAAAGGCGGACCGCATCTGCACCCCGACATCCATCCGGACTGCGAGCTGTAACACAGCAAGTGTGCAGCGCTAGTATAGATTTCAGGAGGAAAAGCCTGAACAGAAACATTTTTTTCTGTCACATGGCCTCGCATGTATCTAAATGTAAAAATGCAATCCATGTAAAAACTTGGAACTTTAATTGAATACGCCTGACTTATATGATCAAGAAATGCTTTATTTGTATGATTTTGTAATATCTGTGTCACATATTTCCTTGTGTGTCATGATAGATAGGACTCTTAATTATAGAATTTGATTACAGAAAAACTGTTTTGAACATGGTAATGGATTAAACATATAAGTAACAGGCTGGATGTACATTAACCTTACATCTTAACACCTCTTTAAAAAAAAAAAAGGCAGATCATAGACCATATATTTTGTCTATAGCCTATAAAACAGCTTCGTAAATAGGAAGATTTCAATACATGAGGATTCTGAATGGGATTTTTTTAGTGAGCCATTAAATGACTTGAGACTCGACTCGGACTCGTGACCAAAGACTCGAGACTTGACTCAGACTCCAGCGATAAAGACTTCAGACTTGACTCGGACTCCAAGTTAAAGACTTGTGAACATCTCTTGTCTGTTTCTATCAGGTGTTTTCCATGAATATGATACAAATTGGTTTGAAAAAAAAGTGGTCTTACGACTGTACTGGAATATATAAGTCATACACGGCAAGTATAATTTTGTAATATTATTATTTGAAGTAATCGTATTTCAAATACTTTTTTTTTTTTATTACCAAACTACCAAAATTAAGAAAAAGGATTTTGCCTCACATAACTAAATTTATACATGTATTAATTTAGTTAGTTAACAATACAATACCTGTTTTAAAGCCGTGTTATTTTAATATCACTGAGGTACTTTTATAGTTTTTATTAATATTTTCAGTTTTTATTTAGTCATTTTATTTATTTCATTTTTCATTTAGTAATGTTGTGTTTTGTCATTTTAGTAGGTTTTTTTTTTAAGTATATGTCTATATATTTTGATTTTTGTATTTAAATGAGAAACTACCAAAGCAAGAAAAAGGATTTGTCCTCAAATAAATAAATATACAAATAATCAAACCCTATTTTCAGATCATTAAAAATACATTTTTATGTTTTAGTATTTAGTGTTTATTGCTAGATCAAATATGTCCCAAAATAAAATAATTACAGATTATATAATATTTGGTTTGTGGACAGTCAACACTGACTGAAGGTTAAGCACCTCCTTTTACTTACTAAGTGTTTTTTTATTTTTATTTCTCTGTTTCATAAGACATACAAAATATGATAACTCCATCCAAGAATAAAAATAATAATAATCTTTATGACACACACCTGCGCACATGAATATGTGCATAGCGCCACTCAGTGGTAAAACTTTAAATACACTGTTTTTTTTTGTCAGTCATTTTTCCCACAATTCTAACAGATGCCACATTCACTCATATGATTCATATGTTGCACTTGATTAAATTGAGGCACGTAGTCTGTGAAACCTGCAATCTAGAAAAACAGAGAAACTATGGCTGATCTCATATGCTTATGCAAACAGCCATGAGCAATTAGTATAATTGGACCAAGCACACATGGATGTTGTACATTAAACAAATTATACTCAAGAGTAATTACACAAATGGACCTCAACGAGTGTGCTGAGATTAAAAAAATATCCAACGAGACAACAACAGATCGATACAGGCAATACAGGTTGTTCTTTTCTCCTTTTATTTATTTGACAAACACTAAGATGTGCCAATCTATAAAGGACTCCCATTAAATTCCAAGGCAATAAACAAAACAAAAAATCATGAATCTCATTTAAAACATCACTGTTTGGTTTTAATTACAAACAAGGAATGTGTTTGAAATGCTGTAGGCCTGGTGTGAGAGAGAGCGTTTCACGCTAATTAACACGGCCAACGTGTTACTTTTCCCCTCCGCACAGCTCCAACAGGATCTTACGGTAATCGCCCGACGCGTCACCCTAGAACACAAACAGAACAGAGTTTCATGATGGGTTAAATGTTAGTACTGCCTTTAGTAGTGCTTTTAGTGGGGATTTTTGCGTTTGTCTGCAAAATTAGTTGAAATTAAAGGAATTATTCACCCAAAAATGAAACCTTTCTGAAAATGTATTTACTCTCGGGCCATCCAAGATGTAGATGAGTTTGTTTCTTCATCAGAACAGACTTGGAGAAATTTAACATTACATCACTTGCTCACCAATGGATCCTCTGCAGTGAATGGGTGCCGTCAGATTGAGAGTCCAAACAGCTGATAAAAACATCACAATAATCCACAAATGATCCACACCACTCCAGTCCACCAATTAACATCTCATGAAGCAAAAAGCGTGTTTGTAAGAAACAAATCCATCAAGATATTTTTAATTTAAAGCCATTGATTCCAGCTAAAATACAAGTTCTCTAAACATAATATTGCTTTCTACAGGGAAAAAGTCTTCTCGTCTGAACCAGGAGAGAAATAGGCACAGATCAAGTCAAAACAGTTCTAAACAAATATGTCAGGGATTTGATGTGAGAAAACAACAGACAATGGACTCTTTCACTGGATGAAGTGTTATTATGGATTCTGGGCTCATATATTGGCTAGAAACAACGGTTTAAATGTAAAACGTCTTAATGATGGATTTGTTTCTTACAAACAGTTTTTCACTTCGCAAGATGTTAATTGATGGACTGAAGTCATGTTGATTACTTGTGGATTGTTGCGATGTTTTTATCAGCTGTTTGAACTCTCATTCTGACGGCACCCATTCACTGCAGAGGACCCATTGGTGAGCAAATGAT